TTTCTCAAAAACGTCACATTCTATCATGTTAAAAGCGAGGATCCTCTGGATTACGCCACAAAATGTGTAACAATGCGTGCGCGAGCTTTTTGCGATACGTCCCTGCATTCTTATGACGGGATTCACTTTCACTTTAAATCTCCAGACACACATGCAAATCACGTTGTAATGAGAAATGGCTACGGATATGAGGGCCCATGGTAAGAAATCTCTAGGTCGTCTAATACGGATTCTTTATATTCGGAAGTATGATTATGAGGCCCAACCGGTTCAGTGATGCTTTACTTGTTTGATTTTTGTCCCATTTTTTATCCTTGGCTTTATCAATATGATTGGAATCCGATCACTTCTCATAGGGTCTAATAAAAGTCTCTGTTCACTTCTCATAGGGTGAAATAAGAGTCGCTCCTTTATGAACGCCGTTCACATTTACAACATTTACTTATATCATAGTTGAATAATTTAATATCGAACTAGCCCTTTACGATTCATGCACAATTTTTCGGTTCATTCAAATTAAAAAAGCAATTACATCGAATTCAATAAAACTCTTTGTTCTCTGTCGACAATATCCTTTGCTTTATTTGCGATTATGAAAACATTAATGATTTGTATGTAATTAGAAAATCATTACGCTCGTGATTAAATTGCAATTTACGGGGATTATCTAGATTCATACGTTGAGATCCGATAGGAGTGGCCATCCTGTGAAAGAAATTCAAAGAAAACCGTGTTAAATAGAATCGAATCGAATCGAAAAGAAATGATATATAAATTATTTGAGTTTTAGTCCATGTATTCTTTTCATGATTTATAAGCTGTGTATCCAAAAGTCAACTTGGTTTATAAGTAATACGCGCATTCGTACAGACAGGAAATTAACAATATTATGTGTTAAAAAGAGCAGGAAAATGAAATATTTACAAGTACATGTACAACCGACCATAAGGAAAACAAACCCCAAATATCCCCAAAATAATGTAAATAAACAGTGTCGTATACCCTCTATCTACCATTCAAAAAACATTATCACAATAAATTATAATCTGTGTATCTAACATTTAACTTCAAGGAAGATTGGCTCCCGGAGTGCAACATCGATGTTCTGTCCCATATATGGAGATGTCGTGCTTCAAAATTTGAATTCCAATAGCCGCCATTTTGTTCACTTCAACATTTGAATCGTGAATTTTGGTCTTATTTCCTAACGAAAATTTCCAAAACTCAGAAGAAATGATCGAGATATTGGTTCGAATCTTTTGAACTGTGTTGACTTCATAATCGGCTATAATTTCAGAAAATAACGAATTTTAGGCGTTTTACTTGTTGGAAAATATCAGTTTCGATTTTGGGAGCCAATCCTCCTTGATTTAACTTGAATAAGAAATAATACCCCATACATGACTGGCATTGTAAGTGATTTGTCTTATCTAAATGTTTTGTGACAATAACCATGATTATGTCTTCATGATTCAAATAATTCAACAATGAAACACATCAATTTTAATTTATATCATCCATTTTATTCATACTAACTTTAATGAATATAGGCGATTATTAGCAGATGTTGCTTTGCTTTTGAATTTAAAAAAACAACTCGTTACTCATCAGTGTTGAATCATAAGAAATAGTCATCTTTATGTCACAATTAAAAACATTAAGATAAGACACATTGCTCATAGAATACTCGGTTAAATAAAACAAAGAAGATCAAAAGAAATAAATTATAACTGAGTCATCTTTTTTATTACTTTTTCTTTTTCTTTAGAATATCAATGTGTTCATTCCCACACTTATGTCATCCCTTTTGCCGCAGGTATCGTTTTTGTTACGGCCATTATACGCATGCGCGTAATGTACGTAGATAACCGTTTCTTTTTTCGATTATTCTCAGTACATGTTCATGCCGCTTCTGGATGTCAATTTCCTGTATTTTATTGTTTCTATTCTTATCCTTTTTGTATGCAAAATTTCGCACTGATTTTCTCCACGGGAATATTTTTCTATATATCAATATTTATGAACTCTTAGTGCAATAAATCTTGTATAAATGTCACAAGATTGACTCATTGTCTTATTTTTATGTTCTTTAAGTTACATTAATTATCATATCACCATTTTTACCTTTACGTATTTTGGCTGGAATTGGTTACTAGTAATATATTTTATTCAGTATGTACGTTTGTTAATCTGTATGTACGTATACGTTTTTATGATGTGTGTTTTTAATTTTATTAATACACGTATCATATGAGGTTTACTACTGAATATATATTATACAAATAGTGACTGCCATTGAGGGCAATAGTGTAAATTATTTCCCCGAGGGAATATCCTCTACAATGTACTATTCCAGAAGCCGCAGGCTGAGGGAATAGTACATTGTAGAGGATATTCCCAAGGGGAAATCATTTACACTATTGCTCGAAATTAGGCAGTCACTATTTGTTTTATTATATACCCTATACTGACTCTTGTCCCGTTTCCTCTGCGAATGCCAAAAAGGCTTAGAAAGCCCCCTCCCCGGGTCCATTGTTAGCATTATAAGCTGTGACGTCAGATGCTCAACATAAATTTTTGCCTCTGCGACTCTCACTTGACAAATTCAATCGCGTTTAACACGCGGAACAGATTATCATAACACTTGAAATTACACAGACGTATTGAGTTAAGGGAACTTTATACACGTTGCCTATACTGTATCGTTCACGCACGTCTGTCATGGTGAACGGAGTTGATTTGTGTTTGTGCTCATCCTTCATTTTTCTGTTTTTCGTCTGCGCAGTGATGATGCGCAGACGTTTCCAAGGGTAATAGAACTTGCAATTGTGACGTCAGCGGGCAATAGTTCAAATGTATATTCCCGCTGACGTCACATTTGAGGGAATATAACTTTCCGAGGGAAAAAGTAAATCTATTTCGGAACACGTGACTAGGTATTGACCAATCAGGATTAGTGTTACATATTGGGTATATAATAAATATCATTATTGAGTACCGGTCCTTTGTTCCTTAACTTCCTACTCCATGTGTTTGTTTTGTTGTATTGATCTCCAATCAATCGTTGAATACGCACTTTTTAGGTGTTGAGTGTTACCCTTGATTTTTTTAGCCTGATGATAAAGTAACGCTACCACTTTCAATCAATACGACATCAAATTGACTCAGTTGGAATAAATACGTATTCTTGACATCATTTACTACCCATTGGCAATATGAATACGATACACGACAATGCTATACGTCAAATTGTTAAAATGACTAAATTGATAATAAGAAATTCATAAGGGGACATTTTCCCGACACACTCACAAATGCTGAATAAGCCTTTAATTACCTTTAAATACCTTTAATTTACGCGTAAGATCCATACTAGCACATACAGAAAACGTGAGGTGTACATGTAATGCATGCATGTTGGACTTCAAAGGGTTATAACTGATTACCGAATCACATTGCGTATTCCATATGAAATGATTTAATGATAGCATGAACGAGATCAACCACAACGTTTTAGTTCTCGTTTAACATCACGTGACTTTTAATTAATCAAAAGTGCATGAATTGCGTTTTGGGGATCACACGTACAAGATGAACTACAATTTCCCACTTCTCGTCCTCGTTTTATACCACGTGACTTTGTAGACTAATCAAACGTACATATATGTACGGTTACTCCTTTGAAGTGTCGTAAAAATCTAGGTTCGCTCATTAGTGCAAGTTCAATTGCATTTTATCATTTTAGTTGTTCAGATAGTTCATCTGTTGATATTACAGCAGATTGGGACATCAAGAATTTACGACTCTTATTTATCCCTAGAATTATTTTGTCATTTGCTGAGATTGCATCCAGGGCTACAAATTATTTTAATAATGCGCAACAATATACTTTTTAGACTATTCTCATTAATGAGATCAATATATTAGTCTGTTATGCTCAAATTAAATAAACCTAGAATATTTTATTTATAAAATAAATAAAATATGTTTGCTAATACAATCAACATATTTGAAAAAATATTTTCCGAAGTAATACAAATTTCAAGTTGAAGAGTATTTGTATAAATTGCACCTGATTTATTAATTCCAAAGTGCAATTTATAAGTTCCTACATGACATTGTTTTTCAGGCTTCGAAATACGATAAATCAAATGAAAAATGTTCTTGTCAAAGTATGTCGATTGCATAAGATTCTTATTTTATCGGATTTCAAATATGTTCTTATCTATATTTTGGATGAGAAGTATAGCCTCTTAAACGAATATAACATTTAAGATAAAATCACACGAGTAATTCAGTACAGATTTTGTCAACGAGATAAAAGAATGGCGGTGTCAGGCATTCTTTTCCCCATAGATAAGGGTAAGGGATATTTGGGCTTATTTTCTCGACCGGTGTGTAGAAGTTTTCTTTTTCTTATGTACAGTAAAATAATTTGGTCCTTTCTCTTTTGCAGTTTTGTATATATATTGGTCTATTCATTTTTTGTATAATAAACTTTAAGCAATAAAAATAATATGATAATAAATATAAGCAATAAATCCCCCCTATTATCTTCAACTCATTGTAATTATAACTTATGATATTTGATATGCAATGTACGCAAATGTATATAAGCTGTAAGTGACACTTATACGGGAAATCGATAATCAGGTTAAATGTATACCTGTAGGAGTATTGTATATATAGCAATTATCATTCACAAAATTACACTTCGATGCGTTGCGCGTATATTTCAAAACACGTCTTGCACTTGCTGTTCATCAAAATCATGCCATCGCATTTTTCAGCGTATTATAGTAAGATCAATACGTCGCGCATGCGTTTACACTCATGCGTCCCGATGCATTCTGGGAAATTTTAAAACGTACGTGTACGAAATCATTGACGGCCTCGTCAAACCCATTGATTGACGGCCTCGCCAAACCCATTGACAACATATTGTCAAATAATTTGCAATTATATTAGTATTCTATAATATTGATTCTTTTTATTTTCAGATTGAATTCCGATGACGACAGCAGAGCTATTCAGCTCGAGACTTGCTCACGTATATACTGGCTCCTACCACTTTTGTGCGAGATTTGGATTATATATGTGTGACTATATACATTTACGCTTGTCATATATGGGGTAAGGAGACAAATCGGGTAAACATGAGCGTTTTACCTTTACGACGCCGCACTAGTAGCTCGAGCCAGGCGGTCAAATACACCCCTTGCTCAAACGGTGATCGCTCAGACGATGATGAGCTTAATGATATCTCTGTGTTGAGTACGAATGGAAAAGACCCGGGAGGAGCAGAAAACGGAGTATATGATCGAGAAGGAGACGATCTTTCGGTTGGAATGTCGGATAACTTGACGTTAAGTCACGATGGAGATAGTATGGATAACGACCTTCACCACTCTCATATTGTAACTGCTAATGGGCCAAGAATGCTCCCGGGTCCCGGGAGTAGTCCAAGCCCAGGAACACCTCGAGGTGATAGAACTAAGCTCATTGGCGCTAGACTCAGCTCTAGTGGAAAAATAAACCTATCTTCGCCAGTATACACGGGAAAGGTTATAGAACAACGGGCTCGGACAAGGTCTAGTTCAAAACAAAGTTTAATTGATATAGTTAATCGAGTCACAGGTAGAAAAAATTTAAGTTATTCCAAAGAAGAAGTCGCATTTTTAAATAAGGCTCGCTCAAACGACACGATGTCGTCACATAATGTCCATAACGTCAACGTGCGAAAAATACGTCGCAAAGAACTCCACGAAAAATTTGGCGGTAAAAAGAAATTAGAAAGTATTGAAACAATGACAAATGTAACCGTGAAAGAAGGTTGTAAATGGACGTTTGTGTTTGACCCTGCTGGAAGATTAGCGTATTGGTGGTCATTAGTTATAAGTCTAGCATTCTTGTACAATTTCTGGGTCATCATATATAGATCGGCTTTTGACGAAATTAGAGAAGAAACTGTCGCTATATGGTTTACTTTGGATTATTTCGCAGACCTGTTATATATGATGGATATAGCGTTTCACTTCCGGACTGGATATCTAGAGGATGGAGTACTGCAAACGGATAGTACGAAACTACGGATACATTATATGAATACCACTATATTTTACATCGATCTTTTATGCTTACTTCCTTTAGATTTTTTATACCTCTCGGCGGGATTTCAATCAATTTTTAGATTCTTTAGATTAGTGAAGATATATCGTTTCTGGAATTTCCTCGACAGAACAGAAAGACATACAAATTATCCAAATACTATTCGCTCATCTAAAGTGTTACACTATCTGCTAGCTATTTTTCATTGGAACGCATCGCTTATTCACCTCGTAATGCCAAATATTTCCAACTCAAATTACGAACAGAATTATTTAATAGTTGATAGGAACTCGACAGTCCAAGAAAAGGAAGTTGTGTTTGTATATTTGAATTCTCTCTACTGGAGCGTATTAACGCTTACTACTATTGGAGAACTACCTCGACCAGAAAGGAAGGAAGAATATTTATTTGTGATCTTTGAACTGGTGGCAAGTTTGTTACTGTTCGCTACCGTCCTTGGGCACATTGCTAACATTGTCGCTAGTGTCAGTGCTTCGCGGAAAGAATTCCAAGGTAAGTAGCACAAATATGACGATCTGTTTACATTAACGTTTTACTTGCATTACAAATATGACGCCCTGTTAACATTTACGTTTTAAATACATATCAAATATGACTATATGTTAACATGTTCTAGAGCACCTATATCACTGGTTTTGTCAATCAGAAAACATCATATCCATGGCTTGTCAAACACAGAGCATACTGGGTAGGAAGATTAAGGAAATATGAATATATATATGACCTCGGTGAAATGTTATGAATATACCAATGATTAGCGTGTCTTAATGTTAAGAACTATAGGTTGGACGGTCCCTGGATATAAACCTTGCACAAGTGTTTTTGGTATGGCCTTTCAATAATTTGCAATGTGTACAAATAGTTAAGCAACGAGGTAAATGAAGTGTGGAAGATTTAATGAACTCGTCTTTGGTATGCTTTTCTGAAACCCTTGGCTGTTATTCTCGGATAAAGCTACATACTACAAACTCGTACTATGAGGAATACACAAAGAGTAATCGCCAAATTGACATGCATTCGTTTATAGTAAGATTGTACATTTTATAGTTTATCATCAACATTTAAGATAGACGGGGCTCGAGAAAGGGACAAACTCGCGTATGCCGTCAGAGATTTATGAGTGCTTTACTTGCAGACATGTATTCAAGATTCAGAGTTCACTGTTTTTCATTAACAATTCTTTAAAATATATTTGGAACATTTTTATAAACAATTGCAATTAAATATGTACTTAACCTCCATAAAGTGTTTTATAAAAACGTTTAAACCTTGGGATATTTCTCTTGGTGCTTTTCCAACATGTTCCGAGGCCATCCTTTTACATTTCCGTAAATAATATATGCATATTTATTCAATCTGTATTGAAATTAATTGTACATGTCACAACACAAATCTCGAAAGATCGGATTGAATTAATTAGAAGGATTAAATATATCGATTATAAATGTGTTTGAGCGGACTATACTACTGTATAAAAATATATGGAGCGTTCTAGATCAGTGACAGCTTTTTAATCCTATTATTTGCTGTCTGTCTCTGCCAAGCGTGGGTGAGTGGATTCAGATATGTCAGCTTACACAGATTGTGTCGTATATTAAGGTAGCTCATGTGCAATTGCGTCGAATATTAAGGTAGCTTTTGTGCGATGTGTGAATGAGTGAATTTAGATATGCTAGCTTAAAAAAATTGCGTCGTATATTAAGGTAATCCGTGTGCGATGAATAATTAAATAAAATCTCACTATTAGGCGTACACAAAGAACAATGCATCCTACAAATCGTTTATGTTCAAGGAAGGCGGGTGTAATGAAAATCTGGCCAACTCTTTTCGTTGAAAAAACTTGAATAGTATCAGTTCTAACCAATCTCTGGTCATATTACATCAGTAATTCATCCAAAAGATTAAATGCTTATTTGGCAATTTTGGTTCGCAAAAGCAATGCTAAAGATAGACCGTATAAGTGAATAAATTAGACATCCTTGACTTGCATTTACTCAGCGACTACCATGTTAGGTCTTATAATCTCTTTTTAAACCGTATCAATCATACTAACTCTTTGTTCAGTCTTCACGGGGGACCAATCACATGATCTGAAATACTTCACTTCATTTTGCCGTTAAAGTGGTTATGAGTATTTTGAAGAGCACATTGAATATGAGTAGCCTAACGATGTTGCTAAGTCGATTACACCGCCTTTAACTCTCAATTCAACCTTGGATTTTTACCCTTTTGACAACTTTCATTTTGGTTTATAATATTGATAGTTTTATTTAAATGGAAGATCTGGTCACCTTTTAACTTTACAAGAAGTCATGTTAAACAAAAATTGATAGGTAGACGCATTTTGTATTCATTTTCCGCTCAGTTTAGGTTTTGCATAAAATATTGAAAACACACGTCTTGGTGATAAATCAAGTATGAGCAGAAGCAGATACTATTTTTACTCCGATAATAGAAAATGTAAATAGTATCAATGTTTGAAACAGATGTCGTCTCTAAATTAAATATTTACTACACGTTCAAATAAGAATTTATAAATTATATGTTGTAGCGTTTTCACTTCTCCTGTGTAGTCTCGCACAGTGTAGTTGTACTTTGATGGATTTAGTCCCCGAGAAATAATCATCTGCCATGCATATATTTGTATGGATTTTTTATCGGGCGGCAATAAAAAACACCTTTATGCCTTGGTCACATTTGCTCCGATTTTCACTACATAAATTGAGTATTGATTGAGTATTTTGTTCAAAATTGAATACACTATCATGAGCAAAACACTCAATCGCCCGGGCGCCTGCCGATGGATCGTAGCAAATGTGACCAAGGCATTACTGAGTGCTTATATTCATGGTTTTCCTAATACATTTTGTTGTTGTTTCTAGCTATAGAAATACGAAAGGTCCTTATTTATCAAATAATCAATTTAACATGTGCACTTTATGATTCTTAAACTCTAATACTTCTATTTCCAAAATTCACATAATCAACTTTATGCCTTGGTCACATAGGCTCCGATTTTCACTGCGGCGCCCGGCCGATGAGTATTTTGTTCAAAATCGGCCGGCGAGCCCGGGCATCGTACGGGCGCCGGGCGATGATCGCCACTCATCGGCCGATTTTTAGACACCGTACGGGCGCCGGCAGAGTTTTATCGCGGAGATAAAAGTTGCCGATGTCTTGGCGATTTTTTCTCAACCAAACTCATCGGTACCTACCCGGCCGTGTCCCGCCCGATCATCGTACGATTATCTTACGGCGCCCGGTGGCATCGCACGGTCATCTTTGGATTTTGCGTGCTGATTTGTTGGATAAATCTTAATAATGATTACTTATAAAGTGATATAAAGGTTTTAAAAATAATGAGGTAAGGAATTATAATTACTACACACTGTCAGAGATTTTTATAAAACATTAATGGAACGATTAAGCTTACTGTATATAAAACAATGGCACACATTTGAATGGCGGCTGGGTGGGTGGGTTGATCTAGTCGTTCTTATATTGACATTAATCGTGTATGTCTGTCATACACATTGAATAGAGTGTTACATTTTTATGCGTATATTCACTCATGCATATACCATTACAAATCATTTATTTTAAAAACCTTCGGAATGTTTTTGTGAGTACAGTAATTTCAAGGGTCACAATTTTACTACGATTAATTACGTCTCAATTACAACGTAATATGCCAAAGGCTAAGGATAGAGGGGATAAGGCCAATGGGCCATATATGAGGAAGGCCTTGGGAAGACAGGTGGAAAAAGACAATAACAATGCTACCGAGCTGGTGGATGATGAAGATTTAGATGTGTCTATAGGGAAGCGGGTACTCCACTTGAAACAGAAGAAATATGCCAATTTCTTTGAAGCCATATTTTTATGACCAAACTAATTCTCTTTACAAGAACAGACGAAAGAAAGATGGAGAAATAGGGAATTTTGCTAATAGCATCGGATGGACAGGTAGACATAGTATTTTTTTATATGAAAGATCTAAAAATGAATTAAGATCAGGGTGCACTATGATGAAAAGACCACGTCCAGTATGGCAAGTGATTTTAGACGGTCATATCTTTCACCATGAGTACCTTCTGGGCACAAATAGAGTGTTTTTATTAAAACAATATGTTTTCTTTCAATTGAAGTACCCATGATGATAAAAATATCAATCAAACAATTCGAAAAATGATGAATAGGGACCCCATGTCAACATTTTTTCTAAATATTGAACCTATTTACTCAAAAGAGGATCTTCTTTTTCTGATTTTTATTGCATGAAAACATTATTATCCTGGAAGTCCTGTTTATCAAAGTATTTCGTTTTCAAATGTTGCATTCACGCCATGTGGAACAGTCATACTGGGTCATACAGGGATTAAGTATAAATCTAGAGGCCTGTAAATCGACCGATGTCCTGGCGGGTCCCGTACGGCCATCGGCCGATAGCCTTGCGATACCCGTGCGATGTCTTTCAGATTCAATTGATTGCGGGCGCCGTACGATGCCTGTACTAATGTGACCATACTCACGATTAGATCAAGACATCGGTGAAAAGTCACCGGCGCCCGGTCGATTTATAAATCGGCCGATGACTACTCATCGGCCGGCGCCCGGCGGCTATGTGACCCAGGCATAACTCTCCGTGAAGCGAAGCATCTGTGCTTCTTGAGTAAGGAAATAACTTTATGCTTCGAGGGTAACGAGTCAATTCGGAGTAAAAATCGGAAATCATCTTATCTACTATAACATACATTGTATTTTATGACTCTCGGATTATTCACATCCGTTATCACGTAGTTGTCACCAAATAGAGATTCACGCATGCGCATGAGCGCCTCTTCAATCACCGTTCCACTTTAAACTGCACATAAAGCTAGCACTTTATGGGAGTCTGTTTGAGTTTGCCTCAATCATAAAACAAGTTTTTTTTCTTCGTGGAAGTGATACCCTCGAGCTCTTATCTACGCTCTTACAATTGGAGATTGATTTAAATACGGAAGGACAAAAATCACGTCAATCACAAAACTTGCGATCGTTTTTTCTCCGTGGAGTTAAGTTTGTGTAATACCCTCGAACTCTTTTTTACACTCTAAAAATCGTGATGATTCTTTCCTACTTAGAAAGAAACCATGACACCTTAAATATTCTTAATTTAAGGATTTAAGTTCAAGGCCTCTTTTGGTTTTAAGCATATGGGTTTGAGACTTTGATTTAGGGTAGTAATACCTGTTTGGCTATTCTTCATGGTGCTATTTATTGTTTTTCACTGAAATAACTATGAACTTATGGAATTGACTAAGGTAATCATTTTCACTGAATCTAAAAATAACCATTGATTCATTGATCCTCCATTGATTATGTTGTAAAATATAGAATAGATATTCAGATTGGCTGACATGTAACATATCATTCCCTGCGATGAGTTAATTCCCTTTCAATTTGAATTGTTAAAATGAATTAAGGTGTAAATATTACTCCTGTAAAATCAT